TCCCCAGAGAAGGCCAAGTCCCCGGTGAAGGAAGAGGCCAAGTCCTCAGAGAAGGCCAAGTCCCCGGTGAAGGAAGAGGCCAAGTCCCCAGAGAAAGCCAAGACTCTTGATGTGAAGTCCCCAGAAGCCAAGACCCCAGTGAAGGAGGAAGTAAGGTCTCCTGCAGACATCAAATCCCCTGAAAAGGCCAAAAGCCCTATCAAGGAGGCAGCTGAGTCCCCAGAAAAGGTTAAATCTCCTGTGAAGGAAGAGGCCAAGCCTCCTGAGAAGGAGGCCCCAAAGAATGAAGAAGCAAAGGCCCCCCTGAAGGAGAAAGAGAAGCCTCAGGAGGTGAAAGTCAAGGAGCCCCCAAAGAAGGGAGAGGAAGAGAAAGCTCCAGCCACACCAAAAACTGAGAAGGACAGCAAGAAAGATGAAACATCTAAGAAGGAGGCTTCAAAGCCTGAGGTAGAGAAGAAGGAGACTGCTGTGGAAAAGCCCAAAGAATCAAAAGTTGAAGCTGAAGATAAGAAAAAAGCAGTGACCCCAGAGAAGGAGGTGCCCATCAAGGTGAAGGAAGAGGCCAAGCCCAAGGAAAAGACTGAGGTGGCCAAGAAGGAACCAGATGACAGCAAGGCGAAAGAATCAGCAGAGAAGGAGCCAGAAAAGCCACAGAAGGAAGGGATGACTGCAGCTCCTGAGAAAAAAGATGCCAAGGAGGAAAAGGCCACAGAGCCCAAGAAGCCCGAGGAAAAACCCAAAACAGAGGCCCAAACCAAGGAAGAGCCTGGCAAGGAGGCCCCCACGCCCAGCAAAGCCAAGACAGAAAAGGCAGAGAAGTCGTCTAGCACCGACCAGAGAGACAGCAGGCCTCCAGAGAAGGCCATGGAAGACAAGGCCACCAAGGGTGAGAAGTGAGGTGGGGAGACAGCAACGTCCAGAGGAGCCAAAGAGACACAGGAGGGTCTGAGCGCAGGGGTTGGTGTAATGAGTTTCCTTTTTTTTTTTCTTCCCTTTTCTTTATGTAAGAAGAAACCGCTTAGATGGGGTTCTCCTTCACCAAACAGGAATTTCTATTAGTAATATGTTAGCAAGAGAGGGCACTCCCAACCCCGCCCCCACACCCTGAACCCTCCCCGGGCGATGGACAATATGTTATGATAGCTTATGTAGCGGAATGTGATACATGCGGAATGCCACACTTGACTATAAAAATTGGTCCCTCCTTTCCAAATAAGTGCATTTATTTCCTGTATGTGCAACTGACAGGTGACCGCAATAATGAATGAGCTGTTAGAAACACATTATGCTTGAGATGTCTTAACCTATTCCCAAATGCCTTCTCTTTTCCAAAGGAGTGGCTGAGCCCTTGCCCAAAGCTCTCTATCCTGGGAGAGCTGGAGCAGGTAGGGCTGGGCACTGGCCACTGATTCATGCCAGGGCATACTTTTCCACTGGAGTCCACTTTAAATTGCTTCTGTGCAATAAAACCAAGTGCTTATAAAATGAAGATGTCGCTGGTATTTATTTTCCCATGGGCAGGCCAGGGGAGGTCTTGCAACCACTGAACGCCAAAGGTCTCATGTGGGTCTGGGGCCAGTTACATGGCATCTTGTGCTCTTTTCTAGCTCAGACCATGTGCCAGGCAACGTACTAGGTTTTTCATTTTTATGATCTTGGATAGGTGTAGTCTGGTGCAGCTTAGGAAATGCAGGCTCCTGATTCTATCCCACACTATTGAAAGGGATTATGAGAGGCAGTTGCAGGAAAGTGCATGCTTCACCTGCTCCCACCGAAATCTGGGAACAGGTGGGTAAGGTCCTGAGTCTATTGAATAGCTTAGAACACTGCATGTGTTTTCTTCTGTAAAAAGCAAGAGACCTCCCGAGTGAGAGGCCAGAACCAGTTCTAACTAGCACTACTGGGAATAATTCGTAAGTCACTTAGCAGAACTCTAACATGCTTCTCCAGATACAATTTTGAAAGCTACAGTGTTCTTATAGATTTACACAAGGTTTGTACTATAAAATGTGGTGGTTTCCAAGTCTGGGACTGACAGGACACTTTGCCTTGTTTGCTTAGTGCCTCTCCTGGGATCTGCTGCTTTCCCTGACCCAGCCAGGTGGTTCTCAAAGAATCACCATGTTTTCTTTGTTAAAGATTTATTTATTTATGCATATAAGAACTGGGAGGTAGGCCAGAGGTGCAGGGGTGAGAAGATTCACCAGAGAGAGTGGGAGCAGAACAGGTAGATCTTCTGAGATAACACTGCTGAGGGGAGCAGCGGGAGGGTCAGTCTCGAAAGGTCTGCTGCGCCATGTGGTCACCTCCAGGGCGAGGGTCAACCCGAGCTGCAGTGGCTGCAGACAGCTTCATACATTGTGCCACCAGCGAGGCCTTCCGTATGATTGTTTAAGTTATCAAATATATCCAAGGACTTTATGAAAATCTAAGTATTAATTATTATGAGCAGCTCTGTCCTACAGAAATCATACCTCCACAGGCCCAGAACATAACTACAGTACCTGAATATCAAGCTGGGATCTGGGACCTAGGAAATCCCTGTAGGTCTTGTTGAAAAAGTCATAGTTGGCTAAGTTTCCCAAACCCCTTAAAACAATAACAGCTATCTTTTATCAACATGTTTGATATAAATTCTATAAAATCTACATATGAATTTTTCAAGGTAGAGTTTCTGATGCCTATTTTAATGGTGAGAAACAGATGAGATGAGTCGCTTTAGTCATATTTGTTAGAAGCAGGATTTAGACTTAGAACTTAGCTCCAGAATCCATTTGGAGTACCACACCACAGACTCCTGAGCTGCTTTAGTTGGCTAAAGTTTTGGTCATCAAAGGACTGCTGTTTTGGGTTCATACCTGGTCCAGTTTACTTGGGATGAAGGAGTTTCCCAGAACATAGAGCTTTCATCATAAAAGCTAGGGAAGTCCTGAGTAAGTGAGGATAAGTTGCTTCTCCTAACACTTGGGCAGTCATTTTATCGTATTTCAAATATTGCAGATAACAAAACCTATTAATTTATATATTGTTAGGAGATTGCATCATGTCTCACAAAATGTGTTGAATCCCTAACCCCCAATTATTATAGTTGGATAAAAGGTCTTTAGGGAGTTAATCACAGTTAAATGAGGTGCTAAGGGTTGGACCCCAACCCAATAGGACTAGTGCCCTTATAAGATGAGACACCAGAGGTCTTATACACACAGAAGAGACCACGTTAAGATACAGTTAGAAGGGCGTCCGTGGTGGAGCAAGGTGTTAAATTGCAGCACGATGAAGCTATCTGCAGACTCTGCAGCACAAGTTCAATCCCTGGCCAGGGAGGTGACCCATATGGCACAGCAGACCTCTCCTGTGTCACCCACTCTCCCCTCAGCAGTGTGTTTCAGTAGATTTTCCTGTTCTGCTCCCCACTGTGTTCCTGGTGAATCCTCTCACCCCCAACACCTCTGGGCTATACCCCAGTTCTTGTATGCATAAATAAATAAATCTTAAAAAGAAAAGATACAGTGAGAAGGTTGCCACCTACATGTCAAGAAGAAAGGCCTCACCAGAAACGATCCTTTGGACCTTGTACTTAACCTTGGACCTCCAGAATTGTGAGAAAATAAATTTCTGTTTAAGCCATCCAGACTGTGTTATGTTGTTATGGCAGTTTTAGCAGGCCAAGGCAAAACATATAAAGGAATTCAGTGGTTGATCTAACTGAAACACTCAAAAATGGTGCAAGTTTAGGCCCAACTGGATTCATGTATTGAAATGAATGATCATGTCTTGTTTCTCAGTTCTGTTTTCCTTAATGCTGGCTAATGTGGCCCCTAAAGTGGTTCCCAGTGACCCCCATCTTCTGGTGTTCATGGTGTTTTGTAATTTCCTCTCCTTGAACGTGAGCCTGAGCATGCAACTTGCTGCTAAAGATTAGAACATGGCGAAAAAAAAAAAAAAAAAGACTAGAACATGGCATAGTGATAGCATGTCATTCCTGAGAGTAAAGATTCTGGCTTCTTTTTGTTGGGTCTCTCCTGCTCTTTTATTAGCTCACTTGGTGGAAGCCAGCCACCATGCTGTGAGATGCTCTGAGATTCAAATGACAATATACACTATGATTAAGGAGGTTTCTGGCCAACAATTAGTGAGGAGCAGTGGCCCTCAGTTCAACAAGGAATCAAATCCTCCCAACAATCATTTGAATGATCCTCCCACTTAAGCCTTCCGGTGAGACTGTAGCCCTTACAACACCCATTTGAAGCCTTGTGAGGCCTTCAGGGAGTTGCAACCAGCTAAGATGCACCTGGATAATAGATATTCATTGTGTAAGCCTCTAAATTTTGGGATAGTTGATTAAACAAGAGTAGATAATTATTAGACCTTCTTTCTCAGGGTGGCCTTCAATTCATGGAGATCTTAAATAGTTCTGAGCTTGCACCTGTCCATGTACATACCAGGGAGAGATTTATTCTCTTCCCACCAGTTCAACCAGTGTGAAAACTGAATCTCACTAGATGATGGGGTCATAAGCTGATCTCAAAATCAACCACTGTGGCCAGAGAGGATGAAATTCTAGGTCCGGTGGGAGATTTAGCTGACCTGAATCACATAAACTGGACCCAACACTCAGAACCCAGGCTAGAGGACTCAAAGAGCTTCCAGGGAGGAAAGAATGGGATGAAGAACCAGAATGGCCTGAACTTTCTAGTAGCAGTACTAGAGAAACAACCTAGATGTCTATACTGATAAATAAGAGGGGAGAAAAAAGGACAACTTATGGCACCTGGCATCCCCAAATGCTTTCTCCAAAAGCCAGAAGAGGACCTGGCCTAGCAAAAGAACAGAAAGCAAGAACTAGAGAATCCAGGAATGTAGAAACAACAGCACGAAAGATGAAACTCTCTGGGATAATGACAAAGAGGCTACTCTTTGTATAATAACTTTGCAGCCCCTGTGCAGACTGCAATGTGTCTGAGAGGGAAAGTTACAAGAGAAAAATTTAACTGATAAATTATTTGGCAAGATTCACCATGTATAAAATCAAATTCCTTTTTACTGAACTACGGGAGAGTATGAGATGAATTCAATTGCAAAGAAAACAAAAGATTACTTTTAAGAGAGAATGTAATTATCCATGAGTCAATTCAGCAAGTGAGAATATTTACCTAATAGAATGAATATGAGTGGTACCAAAAAGTAAGGTAAAAGGAAAAGAGGGGAAAGAGAAAGCAGAGTATGTAATTGATAAAAAATACTCCTCTCTTTGGTCTGAGGAAAATGGTTCAAATCAATACATTAAAGGAAAGATTGAGAAACAGACCGGGGAAGACATGAAGTCTCAGCGCAGTGTGATGTCCTCCGCTAGCTCATGGGTCAGTGAGTAGAAAAACCAGTGAACGTCAACTAGTCTGTAATTCAGTTAACAGTAACATACCGACATTGATCTGTTAGAGTTGACAATTGTATGATCACGTAAAATAACTACTTGAGTGAGCTGGTGAAAGAGGAACCTTTTCATACTATCTTTGCAACTTTTCAGTAAATGAAAAATTATTTCAAAATAATGGGTTTTTAAAAATTGATATATCTAGAGGTAGTATATAAATAAAAACAGGAGGATAAGTAGCAGAACCTGAGGACTCGAGTTGAAGATAAGAGTGGCTGAGGGTAAGGAAGAGGAGGCAAAGACCCTGTGCACTTTTACCAGCAGACAACCGTCAAAGCAAACAGGGCCCAAACAGCACGTAAGCCAATCTGCTCATTACACAGAAGAACCGGAGGCCAGAGGGGAGCCCCCATAAGGCCAAACAGCCGGTTAGTAGCAGAGCTATGCTGGCTTTTCTTTTTTTTCCAAATTTGCATAGAACTGGGGTGTAGGCCAGAGGTGCCAGGGTGTGAGAGGATTCACCAGAGATAAAGTGGGGGAGCAGGACAGGCAGATCTACTGAAATACACTGCTGAGGGAAGCAGTGTAGACAGGTGAGACAGGAGAGGTCTGCTGTGCCATGTGGGTCAGCTCCCTGGCCAGGGGTCAAAGTCATGCCACAGAGGAGATAGTGCTGAGATTCAACAAACCCCTAGATCACCAGGGAGGCCTAGCAGAGCTATGCTTTCTTATGTTCTATAGAGAAAAATGAATTATATGGATATTAACTTTTTAAAGAATCTGATTGACCCTGAGTGACCCTTATGTAGAAAATGTATATTTTCTTAGTTGTAAAATCACAGGGAAAACATGATAACTGTTAGAGTCCCTTAATCCACTGAAGTCTGTGGAAGACAGGGACTTGTCTGGACTAGAACCCAGGTCACAGCATTAGCACCATCGTTGTCAACACTCACTGAGCACTTCCCAAGGACTGGACCCTGGCCTGTGTTTTATGTCCCGTCTACCCACATGATTGATACACGATTGCTCAATGATGTGAACATGACTGAACCTGCATTTCGCAGTTGAGGAAACTGAGGATCAGAAATGTGGATCAAGATCTTGGAGCCAGG